ATCACTGTCAGTAATTCATTGTTTTCACCGAAACTGCACATCCCTAGGTGTGGGTGTGGGTGCGAGGGTTTGGCTGTGGCTTTGGGTGGGTGTGGGGTGTGGGTGTGGGGTGTGGGTGTGGGTGTGGGTGTGGGTGTGAGGGTTTGACTGTGACTTTGGGTGGGTGTGGGAGGATGTTCGTGTTATTGTTGATTTCCTTTAGAACCAGACGCACACCCATATCCACACGCCACACCCACATCCACATCCACACCCACACACCCACATCCACACCCACACCCACACCCACACCCGATACCCACACCCACACTCGATACCCACACCCACCCCATCACATACTGCTGCCAATATACATGTTTCTTTATACTTTGCTCAAGCAAGTTTCTTGATTAAAGTGCAAAGCAGTACGTATTTTAGCAGCAGTATGTGATTTGTACATTTTCTTTATGCTTGGTACACATGCTGTTAGTAACGCTGCTCAGAGCTCTCTATCTAACATAAGCATTGCTCATGTTTTCCGATGATTCTGAGTGGATATTTGTATGAAAACTAAAAGAAGAAGGAAAAGAAGGATTTTCCAAGAAAAGAAGGACGAAGAAGGATGCTCTGAAGAAAGAAGGAAAAAAGAAGGACTGCCGGGAGGGCTGTAAAATGCTTGTAAAAACAATATATTAATGTTCGTACTCGCAGACATAAAAGTCATTGCAACCTTCGACAGTAAAAAAACAAAAATTTGTCTTTGTGCCAACATAACCAGTACGAGCAGCATCATCAGGATCACCGAGATCACCGAGATCAAAAATGACATCATCAAGACGATTATTAAGAGCAATAGAAAGACCAAGATTAACATCACTAAGATAACGAGCACGAGCATCAGCATCACGACCACGAAAATCACGAGAAGCAGCAGCATCAAGATCATTAAGACGATCCATACTATCAAAAAGACGATCAAGAAGAGCCCCACGATCAATAACACGATCATGACGATGGCAACGAGGACAAGGCAGTATTTTGTTCGATGAGGCTAAACGGAATTTACAGAAGTCGTTTCAGAAATCTTCTTAGACAAAAGCTTTGATGATATGTATCTATCAGAGACGTTGGCGGGTTAGCCGTTTTGCTTCAACCCGTCGGACCCGTGACCCGGCCCATAACCCATGGATCGGGTTGGACCTCTGACGGGTCACGGGTTAACGGGTTAGTATTTTTCAGATTTACAGGTTACTCCGATCGGGTTATATTTTTACGTAAACCCACGGGTTTGACCCGATTCAACCCGTTTATGAAGTTTGCTTTTCGTCTTTAATTTTTTCTTTCTACATAGATTCATGCACATATTCATTTCATGTCTAACGTCCTCCGATACTTGGTTTTGTTTTTCCCACTAACCCTTACTTTAACACCAAAAGTCTCTCTATCATTTGTATTGACTACATCTTGATTCTAGTCGTTCACCTAATTGTTTTGAAGCATAGGCATATATGAATGCGCTTCTCATTTAAAATTTGCTTGTACAAAATACTAGGTTCAATCGTTTTTTTTTGCATCTTCACATTTTCCCAGTTCGCTTCATTTTTTCTTAATATTTTTCCAGTTTATCCTGTCTTTTTTAGTGTTTTTCGAGCAGAGTGGCGCAATAAAAGAATCTATCTTTTCGTATGTATATCAGTTTTTATTATAGTTTGTAGTCAATACGTCAGCCAAACTTTTCTAACAAGCTCAGTTACTATCGAAAGACAGTTTCCCCAAATTGTTCTTGTTTATTGTGCTCGCAAACCACGTACAAAACCAAGGTTATTGAAAGGCTTGTTATTAGTTAGACCACTTTACAAAACGGCAATGCATGATATATAGTCTATCTAATTCTTAATTTTTTTGAACAGCCGTTATTATTATCATAATATGAGCTGTCATTTTTTTTACATTGTGAACATGAGCATATGCTGTTACTTTCACTGGACTCTTTATCTTCCCCAGCTGAACTTCACATTTTGTAATACTTATGCATGTATTCACGGTTAAAAGATAATATTTTAATGGTCAAAACATTTGTGTTAATAAGACGAATAAAAAATGAATGTATAGATCTACTAAACTTGTGAATTTTTCATAAATACTATCTCAATTAAATTTCCATTAACCCGCGGGTTAATCAGCGGGCAGCCCGTGACAGGTTGAAGAATCGTCAACCCATGAAGTAGCCCGCGAGTCAAAAAAAATATCGCTCAACCCGTCAAGCGGATCGGGTGTGACGTCCAACGGGTCGGATCAAAAACAATTACTCACCAACATCTCTGGTATCTATTGTCGATCCATAATATGTAGTGAGTTGTATAAATTATCTATTCCAAGAGAAATATTAGGAGCGCAAGTATCTTGGCGAAGTTCCGCTTTGTTCTTCTCATTATTAAAATACTGATGCGCGCTCTTTCATAAGTTTTTTGAATCATCAGAGCTAAGTCAAGATAATCGGTCTTTCCGAGCCTTTTCTCCAAAGTCCAGGTAAGCTACCCATTGTGGGACTGTGTGGTGGACTTCTGAAAGTTTCACCATTTTGAAGTCACCTTGCTGTAACAAAGCAAGGGCGAAAATTATTCTATGGTATTTAATAGAAACTATGGCACGACAGCCTCTTTGTCTTTATATAGTCCATTTTATTTGATAGCCAAAAACTGCGACTTCCCCGTTATCTAACATGGTGTAGCAAACCATAGCTTGTTTTTCTAACTCGAGAAAAACCTCAGTGCACAGCGGTTTCACTCAATATGTTTCCAATAGGTACGAGATCCTGGTTAATGGTAAGGTCACCGTACTATGTGCAATCACTATATCCAGTACTATAGTTACACATGAGCTGGTCGCAGTGCAGGAAACCGGTGGAAATCGCTGTATATAATACCACGATTAAAAGTGGACTCACCGCGGTCTTCTTCGAAAATATTTGTTGTGGGTATTCTACGAACTGTGAAAAAAAAGAATGCGTCGGAAAGACGTTGCACAGGGTGCAGTTTGAAATTTGGCTGAACTGAGTGACAATATTTGAAAAAAAAAGAAGTGATTCGATAAAAATCGTGGGGATTATGTTACTTTGAGACGGATTAATTACGTTCTTCAAAAGTAATCTGAGCTAAGAGTGTCATTTTTCAGTGTCGTTCCAGAAAACCCAATCCCACACTGAATAGGAAAACGGAACCCTCATACTCCTAAACTGAACTGAAGTATAAATATAATACATAGTTTCTACAAGATTTCAATGCCCTAAATTAATGTCATCTACACTGTAATTCTTTTTTAAATTCTATTTTGAAGAAAATCGATATTGAGTAAGCGAAAGGATTTTATAAGTCTTATGATTTATTCATCGAATTTCGAATATTTTGAAAATGCTGGATTTTCTAATTCTAAGAATTTCGGTTTTATTTCCTATGTTAAATCGAAGCTAGAATATCATTTGCTTATTTTCAAAAAGCTGGAAATTCATTGTTGAATTCATATGGGCATTCCTTGAATATCCTTCCAGAATTCATATAGGCATTCCCTTTTTTTACAGTGTACTTTGGTGCTTTTCTCCGCTGAGTATCGGTAGATGTTTAAGTTTTTACATCGAAAAATTTCACCCGGAGATGTGATTTTGATCGGTGATGTTGCTGCAGCCAAAGCATATCCCATTGTTGATTTTCTAATTCCTCAATGAAAAACCAATCATTTTTCTATGTATGGCACGCCTGATCAAAGTACAGAAGTTTCTTATATCGGTTAATGTTCGAGTACTTTGGGGAGAAGATTTTAGTAGCCATACTGTGAACTGCTTTGTTGAAACTGGTAATCTGATTCACGATATATTCAACCGGGAGCTTCTCTTGGAACTTTCGCGTTTTTATCTATGGAAATAAAATTAGATTCACAAGATGATGCTATTTCTTCAGCCGCTGGCTTCGCTACAGCAGATGCCGATGTGGCTTGTCCAGTTCCTTCAAACACAATACAAACTCAATCAATTATTATATACTATCTCCTTCTTAGGGTTCAGAAGGACCTCAAATATAAACTCATTTCGATTTCTAAGAGAAAATTTTTCAAAACTTACCAGATTCCTCTTGGTTGTCTAGTTTTGCCGTTGAATCCATCGCTTTCGATATTTCTAAATAAATAAGACGAAAAGCGTCGGCGAATTAACTCTGCATTCTATTTTTCAGAAGCACATTGTTTAAAATAACGAGTGGCGCATAAATAATTGCGCTCTTAGTATTTTTGAGATTTCTTCTCTATTATCTCCTTTATTGAAACACCCTTTTTTTTATCAAAAAATAGCGCTTGAAATTCTCTACAAAACCATATATATGACTAGGCCCAATAGTTGTTTTATATATATTTGAAAAAAGACGAAAAATAAAGACATACAAACATCTGTAAAAAATAAATATTGAAACGGTAATTAGGAATGTCACACCGACTTTTTGGCAGATGTTTTTATAGTAATACCTTGTTTTTTTGTTTGTGCGGCCAGAAGCCATAAAAATCTAGTAGATCGCGTATATCTCGATCTGTTCTCTAATTTCATTTCCAAAAAGATGGTCGAAATATTGCTCGAAAAAGATTTACGACGTTCACACACTGAGGATGTCACCTTCTCAGGAAGAAATTGGTTCTGTCGTCCTTCTGTATCTTATAAGTTTTTCCTCAGCAATATTTCAATGGTGTGGGTGTGGGTGTGGGTGTGAGTGTGAGTGTGAGTGTGGGTGTGGGGTGGGTGTGGGTGTGTGGGTGTGGGTGTGGGTGTGTGGGTGTGGGTGTGGGTGTGGGTGTGTGGGTGTGGGGTGGGGGTGTGAGGGTGTGGGTGTGGGTTAGGGGTGCACCAAATCCAAATCCAGACAAACCCAAATCCTTAGTTTGATAGAGTTTGACTGGATTTGGATTTGGGTTTGACTGGATTTGACTTGGATTTGGGTTTGGATTTGACTGAGTTCGGGTTTGACTGGGTTTGGGTTTGACTGGGTTTGGGTTTGACTGGGTTTGGGTTTGACT